GACCAAAGGAAGTGAAAACCAAAATAAATATTAGCAACTCTCTGTCTTTGGAGCACTTGCGTGTATGCCCAGGTGGCTTCTTACTGAGCTTTTGGAGAATATTTAATTACCCTGAACAAGAGAGGTCCTGTTTACTTAAAGGGAAGGACAAATCAGAGTTAATAGGAGAATGACCTTAGAATTAACTGCTTATCTTCTGCATTGTTTTCCAGCAGGGATTGTGTAGTGCCTTGGAAAAGTGATAGGGTACAGCATTTGTGGATAGCAGGAAGGGCAGAGAATAAACGAACAGTTTTATTGCGAAATGCTGGGCCTAGGGTTGGTATGGAAGCCCTCTCCTCTACCACTGGAGCCATCTAGGAGGAAAGGTATGGACCTTCCTCTAAACTCAAGTATCTTATGTAGAGTAAGTCCAGAGGCTTGGGTCATCTTTGAAGAAAAGAGTTCATTATCAGTCTCCATGACTCTGTGTGGCTTACCACTCATTCATTGGTTTGTGCTGGGGATCTGCATATGGTGTTGCTAGATGGTTTTATGGGTAGAGGGTCCAGCAATGCCTGCTCCCCCACCCCTCTTGAGAATCTAAGGGGACAGACAGGCTGCCATTGTCCTCATGGCAGTGAGAAGTCAAGGGACCATATAACTCTGGGTTTTGTTTGACTTACCAGTGCAGAGCTCTTTGATGAAACAGGACTGGGCATGTGGATTCGCCTGAAGGCTAGCCTCCCCTCTGTACTCAGGCAGAGTAGCCAAATAGCCTTGTGCTTACTGGTCCTGTGGCAAGCAAGGTTGGGGGGTAGGGTGTGGGATGAGATCCCCTTATTGCTATTTATTAGGGCTGCCTCTCAGGAAAGGATGGACAGGTGAAAATAAGTGGGATGGGATTATGCTTTTGTTTTTTGTTTTTGAGTAGGTATCTTACTCTGTCACCCAGACTATAGTATAGTGGCATGCTCCCAGCCATTGCAGCCTCAATCTGATGGGCTCAGGCAATCCTTCCACCTCAGCCTTCCAAGTAGCTGGAACCACAGGCATGTGCCACCACACCCGGCTATTTTATTTTATTTTATTCTGTTCTATTTTATTTTATTTTACTGCAGAGATGAGGTGGCGCCAAAGTGCCCAGGCTGATCTCAAACCCCTAGACTTAGGCAATCCTCTCTTGCCTCCACCTCTCAAAGTGCTCGGATTACAGGTGTGAGTCAGTGTGCCTGGCTGGGATTTTGCTTAATAAGTAAAGATATGTCATCTGGGCATGGTGACTCAAGCCTGTAATCCCAGCACTTTGGGAGGCCAAGGTGAGAGGATTACCTGAGCCCGTGGGTTTGAAACCAGCCTAGGCAACATGATGAGACCTCCTCTCTACAATAAATAAAAAAATTAGCCAGGTGTGGTAGCTTGCACCTGTAGTTCTAGCTACTTGGAAGGCTGAGGCGGAAGGATTGCCAGAGCTCAGCAGGTCAATGCTGGGGTGGCTGTGAGTATGCCATTGTACTCCAGCCTGGGCAACAGAGTGAGACTCCAACTCAAAAACAAAAACAAAAACAAAGGTAATGTTCATTAAGGGGTTGAGAAACTAAATACAATACTATAAAGTTAAGCAAATGTGTAGCGTGGTAGGGTCAGACCAGGGAGGTCAGAGTGAACCACCAAGAAAATGTGAGTTGGCCTGGAGCTGAAGTTAGAGCGGGTATGGTCCCCAAACATGGTGGAGCTGAGCTTGTGACAGAGGCATGGTGCTGGTCCTTCTAACCTTGTGTGCGCTCTCATGATCACCCTTCTTCAGGTTGATGTTTTTAACCGAGGGAGGTTACAGAGAACCTGGGAAGAGTCCAGGGGAGCATGACCCCAGTGAGGTTTAGATGTAAGCTTGGAGGAGAGAGGCTGCAGGAACATTGTGTGTGTAGTGTGGAGATGTGAAAGCTGGCGAGGGCTCAGGGTGGGACATGAGCAGCGTTTTGAGTATGTGATGGCATGTGGGGAGAACTCTAGGAAACAGATGGTTCACTGTTTGCTAAAGGCAAGACTAAACAATGATGGGCTTATATTTTAGCACGAGGGGATTTAGATGAGAATTTAGGGAAACCACTGCAAGTGAAAATGTGGGAAGAGGAAATGTTTTTTATAAAGGAATCCATAGTGTTGACTCTTGGATGGTTTGGGGAAAGCATGGAAGCCACCAGCTGAAGCCTAAATGGAATGATTTCCTCTGATTGGACTTTGCCAGTTAGTCTGTAGGATCAGGACACCCAACTTCCTTTTCTCCCTTCCTCCTCCGCATGCTAACCTGCTATTACAAATGTACTAGAAAAAACTGAGTTGGAGCCCTGGTCTTTAATTTCTGAAGAACTGGGGTTCTTAGGAGATAGTGAGGCTCACGGGGTGTTGCTACCAAGGAGACCTGGTTTCAAATCCTGAATGCCACTTACTGTGTGTTTTGGGGCAAGGTTCTCAACCTCTCTGAATCTGCTTCCTCATGATTAAAGCAGAGTTGCCAGTAGTACTTAGATCATGGGATGTTGTGAGTATTTAGTGAGACAGGGCATGGAAGGGCATAGTGCCTGGCACACAAGTGGTGCTCAGTAAATATTAGCCATCATTAGTACTTTATTCTAGAATTTCAAACCAGTATTGAGTACTCAAATACAGGCACATAATACCTCTTTCAGCCTATTTATGGTGACCTCTGCCTATCTTCTTTCATTACAGCTACTGGCCTTCCTGCAAGGACTCTTCACTTTCTATCACCATGGTTATGAACTGGCCAAGGATTTTGGCGACTTCAAGACACAATTGACCATCAGCATACAGAATGTGAGTGGGCCTAGGGACAGGGTTCCTTTCTCTGCTTAAGGAAAGAAAAAATAAAAAAACCCAAACATGGACCCAGTTGCCATAGTAACCATCTATATGGGATGGTTGACATGTAGGTGAGGAAGGTGGGTCTTGGGTTCAGAGGGCAGCTGGGGTCAGGCATTTCTGGATGCTTGGTGGCCCTAGGTTAGACCACCATCCTCTTTGCCATTATTTCAAAGCACTATTTATGTTCTTGGAAGTGCTGCTGCTGATTATATTTCAAATCTGTCAGGATTTCCTTTGGCAGTGGAAATGCTTGCCCAGCCCAGCCCAGCGAGCCCAGCCTCCCTTCTGTGCATCTAGCTGCCTAGCCACTTGAGGCCTTGGAGTATGTGTTAGGGATGGGGGTGGGGGACACATGCTGGCCTTTGGCTCAAAGGATGTGTTCTTGTCCAACTCTTAGGAAGGCTGACAGGAAATTCAAGTCAATGCAGTTCACTCCCAGTCTCTCTTTCTAAGATTTAAACACAGGATCTTTGGAACACAGCGTCCTGCTTAGGGCTTTTTGGTTAGCAGTTACTAGGGCTCAAGCCCACGTCTTCACTGTGTGGTTGGACCATATATTAGTCTTCATATTGTCTTTGTCTCTAGGTGATCTAGTGTAGAAAATCAGCCTGAATATGTCCATGTGGATTGTATTACATGGCTTTTAGAAACCTGGTGTTCACATGGTTCTCTGTTTCCTCAGAGAACAGGAATTTACAGAATCTTGGAAAAGATTTTACAAAGCATGGCTTCTCTTAGGCTAGCTTCCTAAGAAGGCAAACTCTGAAATGGAGACTGACATACAGCAGGTTTATGGGAGGTGGGGGCAATGCTGGCACAAACACCTGGGAGAGGGTGAGGGCACCTGGACTCACAGAAGGGGAAGTGGACTGTGATGCAGGTCTTAGTTGGGGCCATGAGGAGTTCTGGAACTGGGGTGATCCTTCAGTGTGGTCCTGAATACAGGCAAGGGATCAGGCTTTTGGCCCCTTGCCCTAGCCTTGACCAGTCATTGGGTGCAGGCTGCCCTGGGGAAGGGCAAAAGCTCCCTTTTAAGGGCATTGGCAGGCAACATTCCTGCAGCTGAAGAAATGAGCGTCACAGTCCTGAAGGTGTGCAGGCCCCTGGAGCATCTGGGTCTAGATTACCTGGGAAGCTTATTTTTCGGCACTTTTTTGGGTCCAGAGGTACTAAAATTGACCTTTAGGAGTTAGGCCTGAACATTTGCATTTTCTATAAGTTCTCTAGGTGATTTTCATGGTCACTAGAGTTTGAGAGTCATCCTGGTAAAGAATTTTAAGGCCAAAGTGTACTTCTTATGAGTAAATATTTGCCCCATTTGTAGAAAGCTGATTGTTCCTTATCTGGTTTTAGATTTAAGGATTCTCTTAGGTTGATCTTCTGAATTGTTAAGTAGAGATTTTATTTCTTTGATTTGGATAAAATTCCTTTCATCCTAGACAAGAAATCGCTTTGAAGGCACCAGGTCAGAAGTGGAATCACTGATGAAAAAGATGAAGGAGAACCCCCTTGAGCACAAGACCATCAGTCCCTACACCATGGAAGGATACCTCTATGTTCAGGAGAAACGTAAGTGCTTCGACCAGCAGCAGCTTGGATTGTGCTCTGGCCTTTTACCCAGGAAGTGGAGGTTGAGTCCAGTGGTGTCTAGCCTACAGCAAATACATGTTTGGATGAATGAGAGCAACTTTATAGTTCAGTTTCCAAAGGGAGAGATGATGTCCACAGAGTGTTGTCTCCCTCTGTTATTTTCTGTGTGTGTATGATACAGGAAATTCCCCTGGGAACCTGAAATTCTTTGAGGCTCTGTGGTTGCCCTTCTCTCCCTAGTGTTACTGTAGTCTTGAGGATTCTATACCCTAGTACAGCTTTATACGCCATGCCCTGAGCCCAGCGGCCCTCGATAGTTCTTACATGCTAGACTCTTGTTATCTACCAGCAGTGATATTCTTTGGTATTTGGTGATTCTGTTTTCATCTGAGACTTGTTCCAGCAAGGACCAAACAATCATGACTTAGGCCCTTTCCTTCTTCCCGTCGACTCCTATGAGTCCAACACTTGAATTTTGTGGAAAGTAGAAACAAAAGCTCACTTCAAGAGCCAGTAAGAAGAACCACTGCCCTACTGAAGATGTTGAAAAAAATGCCAGTTCCTGCTAAGGAGTTTTCAGTGATGACTCACAAGCTCATGCCTGAATCCTAGGGAGAGGCTTTGTGATGGTGTTATGCTACTTAGGGAAGCGCTTCCAGACTTAATTTATCCATGCAGTGCTAAGAATGAAAGAAAGTTAATTTTTTTTTCTTGGTGGGTAATTCTTCTCCCAGACTCCCATACTGCTTTCTTGGTAGGGCATATTGGTCCTTCCAGATTTTGCTGGTTTTGTGTTCTTTCATGTCCCCCTCTTGATTGAGAGTTAGACAAAGTCTTCACTCCTAAAATCTTCCTGATAGAATAGAATAGAAACGAAACACTTGACTTCAGTGATTATTCTGTTTAGTGATTACTTGATAATTTGCTTGGGTTTAAACTTATTTCCTGGTGATGATGCTGGCAGTAGTGGAGGTGGAGGTCTTGGCTGTGATGAGGGTTCTATGGTCCTTATTCTTCCAGAGATGAGTTTGCTGAGGTTTATAAGAAATGTAAGCTGGCCAGGCATGGTGGCTCATGCTTGTAATCCTGGTACTTTGGAAGACTGAGACAAGAGGATTGGATGAGTTCAGGCATTTGAGACGAGCGTGGGCAAGAGAGCCTGTCTCTCCAAAAAATATGTGTGGTGTCACATACCTGTGGCCCCAGCTACTGGGGAGGCTGAGTTGAAAGGATCATGTGAGCCTAGGAATTTGAGGCTGCAGTGAGCTATGATCACACCACTGTAGTCCATCCTGCATGACCCTGTCTCTCTGCCAAAAAAGAAACATAAACTACTTCAGTTGTGTGTTTCATAAGTTTTTATGTTTCATAAAAAAAAGTGATCCCCTATTTTTCTCAGTGAGAAGATTTCCCCTAAAAGGTTTTAGGACATCTTGAAAATATAAATTCTCAGTTCTGTAAAAATATACAGTGTCCACTTATAATACTTAATTTATTAATACTATTCACTTACACTTATAAAATCATTATTCTTTACATTCTCACATTACATTGCACTATTTTCTTCAAACATTCATGTGCTGGTTATCATGAGAACTACTAATTGACTCTCCAGCCCAGTCGAGAGCATAACATTGGGTTACAGGTTTTTTTTGTTTTACTTTTTTGGTAAAATTATTTTGAAATAATTTCAAACTTACAGAAAATTTGCAAGGATGGTATAAGTAACAACTATATGCTCCATATTCAGCAACGTTTAGCATTTTCCCATGATTATATTCTTCCTTTCTCTCTCTGTATATGTACGCACATCACAGATACACACACACACATTTTTTTCTAAATCATTTAGGAATGGGTTGTATATACCATGTGGCTTTATTTTCTAAGAATTAGGATATTCTTTTATGTTACCACATCCAGGAAATTTAGCATTGATATAGTATTTAATTTAGACAATAGTCCATATTCCAACTTTGCCAGTTGTATCAATAATGACCTTATAAGGCATTTTATTTTTCTCCAACACAGAATCTCATATTGCCTTTAGTTGTCATTACTTTAGTGTCCTTTAATTAGGAACAACATAAGCCAGTTTCTTTGTAGAATTTTCTGCAGCATGGGTTTGTCTGATGCTTCCCCATGATTAGATTTGGATTATGCCTCCCTGGTCAAGTCCTAAGTAGGGCTGTGTTCTTCTCCAGGGCCACATCTTGAGGCATATGGTGTCCATCTGCCCTGTAATAGCAATCACCCAGTCCAGGGATTGTCTGGTTTCTCCATTATATAGTCACTGTTTTTCCCTCATAGCTGATTTGAAATCTGTGAGGGGGCATCTCAACATCATGTAAATATCCCCCAACAGATTCAGTGTCCATTGACAATCCTTGCTCAAACTTATCTTTACTATTATGGTTGCCAAATAATGATTTGCCAGCGCCACTACTCCCTCCACCCTCCACTTCATAATTGTCACTCACTATACTGTAAGGAAGCATCAGCCCTACTCTACCTTCCTCCCTCTCTTCCTTTCTATCTATCCTTCCATCTATCCATCTGTTCGCCCATCATTTATCTTTTCATTTTCAGTATGGATTTATGGATTCCTATTTTATTCAGTAGGCTATACTTCATTACTGTTCTTGCTTATCTTGATGCTCAGGTTGTTGAAGATGCAACACTTTGGTAATCTTTGTATTGTGCTATCATCACTGGAATTGTCCCCCAAACCACAAGAATGTATGGTTGGTATTTTCATTTGTCCTTGATGCCTAATATGAACACTTATTGTATTGCTTTTTAAGTTTACTTAATGATAGCCAACACTTGGGGTTGGCAGTCATGCTGTACCATTAATAATAGTTAAATGTCTGCTAGTTATCTTTTTATTTACTTTTTAAAAATTTTAATCATTTCTGCTTTGTGATCTCTGTAAGCATATAAAACTGGTATTGAGTGGGCCTTGTAGGCTGATATTGGCTTTTTCCTCTAATAGTACTTTGTTGTTCAGAAAAAAGTAATTGGCTGGCACTGAGTAAAATCAGAGACCCAGTCAGAACTTAACTGTGTTTTTTCCTGAGGGATAATTTTGAGGGACATACTCCTTCGATTGTGTTTGGGCATAGACAGTCATGTCCATTCTGCATTTCTGGTTTCCTTGTCTGCTTTTCAGATCTTGAAATCTGCTGAAGTAAAAATTAGGGATCTGGAAGTAGGTCAGAGCCTCTGTTGTCTATGCACAGAGTCACAGAGCAGCTGTGTGGGAAGTGTGATGTCATTGCACCAGATGGGAATGGTGACAAACTATTGAAGGAGCCCTTCTGCGTTCCTTCTTTAATCATCTTACTCCCATTAGGGAAGAGAACGGAAACTTAAATGGAGACTGATGATGGGAACATGAATTAATTTCCCTGAGGAGCCTCTACTTTCCTTATATTTTAAGACTGCTGGATGTAGCGTTAATGGCAGACAGTCTTCTTTGGTCTCTTGGGAAAACCCTAGGTTGGTTCCATTTCCAGCCTGTGAGATCAAATTTCTGTCTGTTCCAGTCTAGCTGGTGTGGAGACTATATTGCCCCTAAAACAGTTTAAGGGCAAATGAGTGTTATGAGTTGTGGGTTGAGTGTTTCCACAGTTAACGATGTGCAGTGTCCAGTAGACATGCTTAGATGTTTATGGGATTGTTACTTTGCAGGTCACTTTGGAACTTCTTGGGTAAAGCACTACTGTACATATCAACGGGATTCCAAACAAATCACCATGGTACCATTTGACCAGAAGTCAGGAGGAAAGGGGGTGAGTTCATTTTTTTGAATTTCGGGCTTGATTTGCTTGGCTGACATATAATGATTATAATGCATGCGTAAAGTAACACTTCTAATGTTTCACTAAATTTTCTTAATTTTATGCAGTGGTTCCAGGAGGCCTAGTACCCTGAAGAATAACTGAAATAAGATGATTAGATGATTACTCTTAGCTTTAAGTTGTATTAGGAACTGCAGTTAAACAAAGATTCTTATAGTTCACATAAATACACTATCAAGTGTGTCAAGTGTTTTTAGATGCTAAACATGCTTGGATGACCTCATCCTGTGAAACGGATTCATGTTGCGCTCACTTGGTACCCAGAGAACTGGCAATTGGCAGTTTATATGTTCCAGTTATCTATTTTGTGTAACAAATCACCCCAAAACATAGCAACTTTTAAAACAGTACTGATCATTTTAGCCTTTCACACAGTTTCTGTGGGTCAGGAATCCGGGGAGCATTTGGATGGGTGCCTGAGGTGCGGGGTTTTTCATGAGGTTCTAATCAGATGTTGGCAAGAGCTGGAACTGTGGGGGCCTGAGGTAGCTCCTGCTGCCGAGGTATGGTTCTCTCCTTCTCTTCTAAAGCTCTTCTGCTCTCAGCTTCTCTTCCATCTTCTTTTCCTCTTTCTCTTTATAGTTTCGGGGCTTGTCCATCTGTTCTCTCTATGTGGGCTAGTTTGAGCTTCCTCACTGCTTGGTGGCCTCAGGGCAGCTAAAGGTTTTCAGAGTGAATGTTCTAGCAGCTAAAGCAGATACTGCATTGCTTTAAAACTTTTTTTTCTTTAGAGATAGGGTCTCGCTCTTACTCCTGGGTGGAGTGTGGTGTCGTGATCATTGCATTGCCTTTTAATGACCTTACCTCAGAAGTCATAGAGCTTACTTTTGTTCTGTGTGTTGGTTGAAATGGTCATAAAAGCCCACCCAGGTTCAAGAGGGGAGGATGCAGACCCTACCTCTTGATGGAAGGAGTAATAAAGTCTCATTGTATGAAAAGCATGTGGGATGGAAGATATTCTGTCAGCATTTTTGGAAGAGACAGACACGTCAGGATCCCGGGAGTCCCTACCCTGGGGCAGCTTCTGGACTGCGCCAAGTTCTTCCCTCTGTGGAGGTGTTGCCTTGCATCTCCTGCCCTCAGTCTCCTCTGGGTACTCCCACAGCAGGCCAGGTGCGTGTCCTGTGGAGGGGATCTATCTTTCTCTCTGGCTGCTCTTCCTACTTCTTTTCTTCCCTTGATATTTTACATTTCATTATGATAGTCCCAGGTCTTTTTTTTTTTTCCAATCTATTGCTTGGGGATTTTCATTTTTCCTAGATCTGAGGTTTGATTTCTTTCCATAACTGGAAAATTCTCACCAAAAATCACTTTGAATTTGGCCTCCTCTTCATTCTTGCTATTTTCTCCTTCTGGAGATATTTAAATGCTTTTGATTTTAAAAAATTTATATTTTTCATCTCTCATTGACTCTTTGGACTGTATTCTGAATAATTTCTCTGGTTCTATCTTTAGTTTGAATAATTTTTCATTTGTGTCTGACCTGTTGATAAGTTAGTTCTCTATAAGCATTTTACTCCAGTCCACACTGTGGTGCATTTTTGTGCAATGTGTTGCATTTGTATTTGTGGGCATTGTAGTATAGAGGTTAAGAGCACTGGCTTTGGTATCAGACCACCTGGGCCAGTGATGTTGGTTACTGTTGTCATTACTGTTAGCTACTCAGCCAGGTTGCACCTTGGACTCTCTTCCACTTCCAATTTTTCTCCCTGGTTTTCTTTTACTTAAGTCACAATAGAGAAGTTTGTTGTCATCTCTATTGCTTCCCTGTATCAAAGCAACAACAAAGCCCTTTTAATGTTTCTTGGCAGAGGTGGGGTTGACTTATAAATAATCTCAGAAAACAGACATTAAAAATGTCATAACATAGAGAAATTACAATTAGAAGGACTATCAAAAACCTGTGTTGATAGGTGTCACCTAATTTCCATGAAATGGAAACAGCAGTTAGCTTATTTTCCTTCTATTGCTTATTTCTTCCTCAATTCTTAGTCCTTCTAGGAATCAGTTTCACTGAATTGTTCTCTTACCCAGTCTATTTTGGGACTTTTTATCTTGTGCTTTCTCAAAACTATAATGAAGAACTCTCTGGTATTTTCTCTATTCGTTTCTTAGCATACTTGAAAGTGAAGGGTGGAAACCAATTGTAGTGAATATTGGGTATTCAGAGGCTTTAGTTGGATAAGTTAACACCTCACTGGACTGTTAAGAGGTTTATGTGAGTCAGTGTATACAGACTACTTGGGATAGATCCTGAAACATAGTGAGTGCTACATTAGGACCTTGATATTATAATAACTATTTTTCCTAGTACTTTTTTACATTTATGTTATGTTTTATATTTTTCTACACCCTTTTATTATCCTATATTTGATCCAATTTTCCTCTTTTAGAAAGAAGGAAAGTGAGGTTCAGCAAGATAAAATGATTTCTAAGGTCATGCAGCTAATGAGTTATAGACCTGGTACTCAGACTCTCACTCTGAAGTCTGAATCCCCTGATTCTGAAGCCATTATACTTTTCATTACATTGCTCTGTTTCATCAGCTTTAGGGTGGGGGGAATGTGAGCACTTCTGTCAATAGGTGATGGATATCATCTCAGTTTGTACAGAGGAATTATGCGATGTCTTTGCACATGTGTTTGAACAAAGTTCTCAGAAGCTGGAGGTAGATAGAGCATAGATACTTAGGTAACATAGATAATTGGGTGTTTTCCTAACATGCTTTTTCTACATACTTTCTGTCCCTTCAGTGTCCCTTTCATTTGGATTATTTTCCTTTATTTTTATTTTTATTTTTTGAGTTGGAGTCTCCCTCTGTCACCCAGGCTTGAGTTGCAGTGGCATGATCACGGCTCATTGCAGCCTTGAACTCCTGGGCTCAGGTGATCCTTCTGCCTCAGTTTCCTGAGACTACAGGCATGCACCACCACATCTGGCTTCATTTTCCTTTTTAAGTACCTACTGTTTTCCCAGCTTCAGGCTTAGAGTTGTGAGTGGAGTTGCTTCATCCCCCTAGAGACAAGACCCACGTGTGATGAAGGCATTTTCCTGCAGCCTGCCCTCTGAGATGGGGCCCCTCTATGGGTCTGGAGCAGCCCAATGCTGATTCTGCCCTTTCCCTTGCTTGAAACCCTTCATTATTTTCTGCTGCTCTCAGGACACAGATCAGAATCCTGCATAGTCTGGCCCCTGCCCTCCCTCATACCCTTCTCATTCTGCTTTCTTTCACTCTGGGCTTCCAGGCACATCAGCCTCCCTTCTGTTGCTCCAAGATCTTTCATGACTCTGTGGATCCTAACCACAGGGCTTTCTACCTGCTCCTCATCCCCGGGGCTCATTTCATCTTTGTTTTATCTCCCATGAATCCTTCTAATCCCAGCTCCAGAAAGCCTTTTCTAATCTTCCTGACCAACTCAGATCACCTTAATTTAAGCTTGTGTGGCACAACCTGCCTCTGTGTACATCACAGTTGAAACTTTTCATTTATTTGTTTAAGTGATGATTACCTATATCCCTCACTTTTTGAAATTGTCAGCAGTTGAACAGATCATCTTTATAGATTTTACCTGACATAGTATGGTTATCCTCCGAGCGGAATCTTATCTTTCTCTTTTCTCTGTTTATATGTGATGATCCTTTATGGATCCCTGTTTCCTCCCATTTCCCTGAGGCATCTCACATGATGGCTAAATAGCAGCCTAGTGACTAAAAACCACTAAATCTGAAATACAGTTAGATACAAACAAGACCAGAATTCCTTACATTCTGATTTTGCATTCATATGTTTTACACACTTGAGAAAGAGCCGCTCTCAATCGGAGACATTAATTTTTGCTCTTCAATAAAAGATACTAGATGTAAGGCTTACAAATACAAACTGTTTCCTCCTGGGTCTTCTGTGTTTTCTATGCTATTCTGATATTAGTGGGTGGTTAAATTTTACCTTACATAGTCACATTTCCTATTATGTGAACAAACTAGGCAAGCTTGCTGATTTCTCCCCTAGTTTTTTTTTTTTTTTTTTTAAGTTTGGCAGTGGTAGGAGAAACAGAACTCCTAACAGATATCTTAAGTAACAGATAGAGAAGAAATCAGGGACAGCAGCTTCTATATTACTAGGCAATAAATTAATGCTGACATGAAATTGTCATATTCCATTTGTACAACGGAGTACTACTCGGCAATAAAAAGAAATAAACTTTTGATATGCACAACAATGTGGATGAATTGCAAAGCAATAAAGCAGTTATGCTGAGTGAAAGAAACTGGTCGAAAAAAGAGCACATACTGTGTGTGGTTCATTTATATGAAATTATTGAATATGCACACTAGTCTATAGTGACAGAAAGCAGATTCACTGGCTGCCTGGTGAAGGATAGAAGGGATGGCTTACTAGGAGGCACAAAAAAGCTTTTTGGAGTAATGGAAATATTTGTTGACTTGGTTGTGGTGATGGTTTCATGACGGTTTCATCTATATTAACATATAGATGTTAAAATTTATAAATTGTACATTTTAAACACGCTCAGT